TTATTTCTTGTAACCCCCGGGGGCACCTTGGTGAATAAAACCTCACCAATTCCCTTCTGTGCCCCCGTGATGAACTTATAGGCAGCCACAAGGTCGCCTCTCAACCTTCTCTTGCGGAGGCTGAAGAGGTCCAGGTGCCCCAGTCTTTCCTAAGGGGCCTGCCCCCGAAAGCCCCTAACCATATGAGTGGCCCTTCTCTGGACCCTCTCCAGGTTATCCACATCCCTCTTGAAGTGCGGTGCCTAAAACTGCACACAGTACTCCAACTGCGGTCTGACCAGCGCCCAATAGAGGGGAATTATCACCTCCTTGGATCTGTTCATCATGCATCTGCTGATGCACGATAAAGTGCCATTATCTTTTCTGATGGCTTCGTCACACTGACAACTCTTGTTCATTATCACCTCCTTGGATCTGTTCGTCATGCATCTGCTGATGCACGATAAAGTGCCATTAGCTTTCCTGATGACTTCATCACACTGCTAACTCATGTTCATCTTGGAGTCCACTAGGACTCCAAGATCCCTTTCCACTTCCGTGCCACCCAGCAGGTCATTTCCTAGGCAGTAGGTATGCTGGACATTTTTCCTCCCTAGGTGCAGCACTTTGCATTTCTCCTTGTTGAATTGCATTCTTTTGTTTTCTGCCCATATGTCCAGCCTGTCCAGATCTGCTCGTAGTTGTTCCCTGCCCTCCGTGTTGTTCCCTGCCCTCCATGTTGTGACCTTTTGTTCTTGTATGGGGGAGAGGGTCAATAATAAATTCCTATTGACTTCCTCTTTGCAATTTTGGCTACAGAAAAAGAATAGAGCAATTCCTCTGTTGCAACAAACTCAGAAAGGCCACGTCAGGTCTGAGAGTTTTTAATCCCATGGGTTCCTATGTGAAATCTAGGGGTTGTCTTGTGAGAGACATTGTTCATTGTATTAGCCTGACGTCAAGGGGAAAGCAGGGCAGATGTGTCCCTTAGGGGCTTCTGAATCATGTTTGTGCACCTAACTGTGCTAACATTGCGGGGCACCCCACTGCACCCTTAAAAGGATCTCAGACATCACCCTCATTGAAAATCACTGCATTAGTGAATCTGACCTCAGCAGAGACAAGCTGGGAACAAGAGTTGGGCTGGTATCATGCTTGCCTGCAAGAAGAAAGTAAATCTAGCGAGCTGGAAAGCGAAAGAGGAATTTGGACTGGAAAATGGAGCATAAAGGGCAAGACTCCAATGATGGGAAAGGTCCTGGCACTAACTGTAATGCTTTGGTTTTAGGTGGACAGACTATGTCCCACTTGGAAGAAGATTGCCTGGGACCCGCTTCATTGCTTTCAAGGTTCCCTTAAAAAGGGTAAGTGAATGATACTTGCATCAGGCCTCTTTGGGGTTGTTCATGGTTTTTCATTATTAAACTGCAGCAAAAAGCAGGGCATTGAAGTGGTGCTGGAGCAGGGATTTTTCCAAAGCTTTGGGGCTGAATGTGTCTGGAGAGAACTTTTCAGCCATATGTACCTTTCAAGAAAGGAGATATTTGGGAATGTTAAAGAAGAAATTTGGTTGTACTAAATGAGAGTTTAGAGTTTTGAGGGTTACAGTGTTTTTAGGGAAGTTAATAAAAGCATAGTGTAGTCACAGTCCTCTAAGCTGCTGTACTACCTGAGTTGGGCATCCAGTGTTTTTCAGTGGCCTTTATGGTGTCGACATTCTGACTAAGAGGTAGAAACTTTTGCTGATTTGTCACTAGACCTTTTGGACACTCTCAGTGTTGGCTGGTGCCTACAGCTCCCATTCACTTTGGTGACTTATACCCTGAAAGTATGAGCCACAGCTGATTTTGAGTAGCCTGTATTCTGGAGAGTCCAAGCATAACAGGGCTGCTTTGCTATCCTTTTCATGTATTGTGGGAAAGACTCCAGCAAGTTGAACCTAGTTGCTATAGTAACTCCCACTGACCTAAATGCTAAATATTTCTGTGGGCATCAGGAAGCTTATTGTAGTGAATTGCAGTGCTGCCTCCGAACAAGCTGTACCTTGATTCTCTAATGCAGACACCTTTATTATTATACATGGTAGAAATTCTTCCAGTGTTACGCATCTTTAGATTATTAGGTTTGTTGCTTCAGGTAATTGCCTCAGTTGCTACGCCGAGTTTTTTTTACACCAGGCGGTAAGTTTCTGTATACTGACAAATTAACTGCACCGGTTAGCGTCATCAGTGGGCTTTCAAAGCAGAACTGGCACGTAATTTCTAAACGCATGTCCTCTGTTAAATGTGTTCCTATCATTAAAGTGTCTTGTGTGCAGCTGTTGAAACACAGCCAAGCAGATCTGATGCACCAAAGGCAGGTGGTGCATTCCACAGATGGGTGCCAAAGTGTTTCAGTAGTTAATGCATCTGCCCGTGTTTCCTGAGGGGTACCTATATGCTGAAACCAGTTGCTTACCACTGTGTCCTAGAATTTAGGGTGTCTGAGTCCTGATGTGGGTGGTGCCTGTGTTAAGGAAACTTGCTTCCTAAGGCTGCTGTGATACACTGCATTTCTAAACTGCATCAAAGCTCTCTGATGAGGTGCTATAACTGCAATATCAAACTTTGTTTCTTGTCAGAGTTTTGAATGGAGACTTGCCCCAGAAGAGAGATTTTCTCCCACAGACCTTGTTAAGCAAATCAAAGAGCAAAAAGAAGAACTTGGCATGATCATTGATCTAACATATACTACTCGCTATTATGGACCACAGGTGAGTTACTCAGTTGCTAGCCAGGATGTGGATACATTTTTATCTAGGGCTAGCCCAGAGTATTAATTGTTGTTGGTATCTCATTTGCCACTAGAAGTGGGAGATCAGGGCTTTGGGAATGTGAAGAACTTTATATATTCTAATATTATAAAAGCCGTACTGAAAATACATAAAAGCTGATGAAAACAACCAATCAGAGTGTGAATACAATGTTCGGACAGGAGGTGGCGGTGCGGTGGAGCAGAAGGTCCTTGGAGGTGGTGGGGGGCATGCCGGGCCCCACAACGGTGGTGGGGGGGGGCATCCCTGCGGTGCAGTGGGGGAAAGGAGACACGCCCCCCCCACACTTCATGGAGGAAGTGGGGGGGAGGGGGGGAATGGGTAATGGGGTCGGGGGAATGGGAACTGAATGGGGGGGGGGGCAGATGAGGGAAGCGGGCATGCACAGCCAGATGCAGGGCTCTGTCTCCACTGGCCCCCTGGGTGGGGGTGAAAAGAATGACCCTGGCCCAGAAGTGGTGGGGGTGAGGGTGTGGGGAGTGAGCCTGGCCCCAGGCCTCTTGTCACCACCCCTCCCAGCAGGTGACCCCCCCCCCGCGGCAAGGCCAGAGCTGTTGGCCCTGGCCCCCAGCCCTGCAGGCAGTGGCAATGGAGATGGAGTAGGGCCAGCAGTTTGTGGGGGGGAACAGGCCTGGACTCGGGGTGGGGAGAGGGGGACGGGGGAGCAGGGCCAGACCTGAAAGGCAGGGGTCAGACACGGCCCTCTGTCCCTGCCCGTCATTCTTGATGGGCAGTTGGCTAGTATATAGAAATGCTGCGTTTTTCACATTCCCGAAGCGTAGACTTTAAGAACAGTGCCAAAAATCATAAGAGTTGGCAGCACTGCCTTATGGTGCTATTATAAACCTGTGTGTGGTACTGTGTGTGTGGAGTTTGCTTATTAGACAGCCGTGCAGGCACCATCTTCCATTTGGTCTCTAAGCTATGAAAGGAGTACCTGTGTTGGCCTGTGGCCAGTGGAATGGTAAGAACCCTTAATTTTGTTTTATGCAATATATTGTATTGCTTTGTGCTTTGTAGGAACTTCCAGACACGCTGTGCTACTACAAGATCTTTACCGTTGGACATGAAGTTCCCGATAATGAAACTATTTTTAAATTCAAGTGTGTGGTGAAAAATTTCTTACGGGAGAACAAAGATAACGGTGAGCAGGGATTTCCTTTAGTTGATCATCTTCCTTAAGCGGCAAGGCAGTTGTAATTGCAGTGTCCTGAGCTATGACAGATGTGACTTGCCATCTCCATGTGCTGTGGGAATTCTCCAGTAAGCTTGTGCTGCTGTTGATTCTGTTTAGTAACACATCTGGGATTTACTTTACCTTGGTAAAGAGGATACTGAGGCAATGATGTGAGTTGCCTTTGGCAGCAGCAGTAATACTGAATCTGGGCTGAAGCGAGCACAGAGTTGTGCTTTAGTGGAGAATAGTGAGGTCTTATCTCCAACTGTGTAACTATCTCATCCATCATCAATATTCTCAGTGTGCCTTAGGCTGAGGAGCAGCCTAGGTCAGCACTTGTAAGAAGGTTGCTCTTTATGCTGTCTTAAAATTGCTTGTAGGATGTGCCCATTTTTTTTCTTCTGGGAGAGGGGAAATTTGTGACTATATGGGGTGACCTCACTCATGCTCATGGGTGACTGGTGCCGGGGGTCCCCCGCGGCTGATCTTGCCGACCGAGGGGAGGGTCCCCCCACAGCCAGTCATGCCAACCCGAAAGCATGGGTAGCACTCCTGGAAGTCCCAGTGGTGCTTCTCCTGGTGCCTCCACTCCTTGGCTGGTGCTTGCAAGAGGGGCGCTGGTGCTCCTACCTGCAGCTGCCACCGGCCCCCCCCCCCCCCCCCAGTTGCCTAACCGGGGAGTGTTGGCTGTCAGGGGGTGTACCAGCACTCTCAGGGGGTTCATGTTGCCACTGCTCATGCTTGTTCTATAAATGGGAGCTGAATACTTCAGATGTAATCAAACATAAATGTGATGTTGTGCATGAGCACTGTTGTTGGGCCGGTTGTTTCCACTGGTGCAAATGGCTGGTGATTTAATGCAGTTAGACTCGCTCCTTTCTGCTTTCTCAGGCTTTCTGCCCGGATGGGCTCTGAAACTGAGCACCCTAGAAGCCTAACTTGAGTTTCCTGTCTTACAGATAAGCTTATTGGTGTTCATTGCACGCATGGCTTAAACAGAACTGGCTATCTTGTTTGCAGGTGAGTCATCTCAAATGCCTGGCACCAAGTTGAGTTAGGTAGGGGTTTGCTCTGTATGCAAGAGGCTATGGGAAATTACCGATCCAATGTGTGCCTTGCCATATGTGATCCTGGATCAACAGAAAGCCGTTAAATGTGCTTCTAAGACAAGGACTCAGGGAACTCTCTAAAATCATCATGAACAGCCAGGAACCCCTAGTGCTCTAGCCAGGCTCTCAGGACAGGCAAAGTTTTGTGTGTGTTTAATTTTACTTCGTATTCCTGCCTTAGAATGTAATGTAATACCCTGTTTTAGCTCACAAATAGCAGCTTCTGGATGTTTCTTTCAAAGTAGCCAAGTTTTGTCCTGGCTCATAAATGGGTATGAAAAATAAAGCATCCACAAGCTTCTACGTTTTGTCTTGAATATTATGTTAGTTTTGTAGTTAGAGTTTTTGTACATTTCATTCAGGTACCTTATTGATGTGGAAGGCATGGATCCTGCTGCTGCAATTGAATGTAAGCACACCAATATCTTTCTAGTTCTTAAACAGCACGGGACATTTAATGCTGGTGCTTGTGATTTCAGATGTGCTGAGGGTTCCAGTGGGCTGGCGCAGGGTGGCAGAATTCTAAGGAGAAGTTTTGTGTTCCAGGAGAGCATAAGAGATGGGGAAAGAGGCTGGAAAGGGAGAGGGCAGAGATGTTAAAGAGGGCACATTGGGATTAAGTTTATTGTAGTGTCTTTGGAATCCTTTTGATCAAGCAGGCTTCATTGAATCCCTGGACCAGAAACTAGTAAGTTGAACAGGGTGATCCATTTCAACACATCTTTTCACAAACAAGAGACAAGGCTTGCAACACAACACCCCCTCCCCCTGCCCCCCCGGGATCACTTTTCAAAGGGATGTTGCGTAGAAATGCTTTGATTTTTTAAGTAGCTTCTCTTGGCCTGTGTAACCTTAACTGAACCTGTGGCACAGAGCTGGGGCTGGAGGTGGTGCTTGCAGAATTGTTGTGTTAAAATTGCTCTGACTCCTTGATTGCAGCTAATATAGTAGGTGTCCTTGGAGTTGATCAGTACATGGCTTAGTGTAATTTACTTCCTTTTTAGGCACTGATGTTAATTATGGCAGGGTCGGGGGTAGGCAGATGTGCAGTTATCTAGAGGTGGTTTCACTGTAGGGGTGTATGACACACAATGAGGAGCCAGAGAATAGCCTCTTTACTGGTAGCAATTGACAACCCCTGAATGGACACAAACAGCATCTAAACTGGTGTAGCTTACGGTGGTGGAGTTATATCCCTGATCTTTCAGGGTAATTCTCCACCCGATTGGATAAAGCTACCCAAGTGTAGGGATTTGCTTGCCTGTCTGCTACTTCTTTATGCCAGTGTGCCAGTTTTCTCTCTGTCTGTAATCTAAAGTGAAGGAGCTTTTTGCATAAAGCTTTCTTAAAACTGAACTTCACTCTCTTTGTGTAGTGTTCAACGGAGCTCGCGGGCATCATATAGAGAGGACAAACTATATTGAAGATCTCCAGAATGGACCCATGAGATTGTAAGTCTCTGTGTGTGGTGCTAGCTTGAAGACTACTTAGGTCCATTAAGTATCTAACGTGACCTGAGCTTACCTTCCTCATTCCTGTTTGCTTAGGAGGCAGCACGAATGCTTCACTGCAGAAGAGGACCCAGGAGGTCAGAAATCTGGTTGTTATTCCAGATTGTGACACTGATCTGCTGTGTGGGCTTTGGCAAATCACTGCCTCCCAGCTCTTTTGTTTCCCCATTTTATTTTTAGAGTGATTTGTAATTAAATCATGTATTTACAAGACAGACTGAAAGGAGCAAACAGAAAAATTTTCTTAAGATCTCATTGAGTGGTTTTCAGTGAGTCGCAGGTTAAATAGAAGCTCTCTCTCTACTTTCTCTCTCTCTGTTTTTTAAAGGAACAATGGTATAGATTCCTCAAGGTTTGACTTGATCCAAGGAAAAGTCAGGACTACACCGAGTATTGGTACCTTGGTAGCAGGACATAAACCACATCATTCGAAGCGGCTCACGTTGGTGACACGTTTGTATGTATTTATGGCTATTCCCCCTTTTAGACTTTGTATGCAGGGGAGGAGGGGCTTGATGGAATGGAAGGGTTTAGTTGTTTCAATTCAGAAGCTTGATGATCAGCCAAAAGGTGGCTGTTCTCTCTGCATCTGAGCAGAATTGGCAAGATGGCACCTCTTAGTTTGCTGCTTGGTAGAGGAGGCATTCAGTGGTAAACTTGGCTCTGAAATTCACCCATTTTAAATGCTGACCCTGAACAGGGTCTGTATGTGTGTGTGGGTGTGTTTGTTGCTGTATCAGCCTCTGTGTTTTGCATTTGTACCCAGAAGCACTGTAACATTTCTCCCAGTTTCAAGGCATATTGAGGAGGTCTTCACTGATTGAAGTTCCCTCCAGCCCAAAAAGGGCAGTTGTTGCAATTCAGACTTAGTGACACCAGTGCAGAATAGCTTATCACATCCAGTGAGACTGTAACTTTACTGCTTCTGTTTTTAGGCTCTTCTCTTCTTATCAAGGAAGTTGGGGGAAAAGTAAAGACTGGTCAATTGCTTCCTATTTATTCCTCTGGTCACGTAGGGCAGATATGTCATCCCATCTATAGCTCCCATTTCATAAGTAAATCCTCTGTAGTCCTTGCTTCCCAGCAGGCCATTTGGAAAGGTTTATTGGGCTGGTTATGTTATAGTTATGCAAAAGGTAAAACCCTAGCTATGGCTTGGGAGTTAAAAACACACGTGGATGGTTTTTGCACATTGTTGATGAAAAGTAGACATGAACTTCTAAAGCAACCTGTTACCTACTTAGAAGCCAAATGTTCAGGGTAGTGAAAGTAGCTAATTAATTTTTTTCCCAATGTTTGACTAGTCATGGGGGCAAAATACATGGGAAGAAGAGGGCAGGGGGAAATTTCTTTCGTGTGAGAGCATATTACATGGGGCCAGGGAAAAGCCTTCTGCTAAAGATTTCTTTGTTTTAGAGCTTATCTGTGTAAAGCAGGTACATGATTGCAATAGGTGGCCATCTTGTGGGAGCATCATAGAGCTCTGGATGGGTGTAAATCTCTGAGATCCTCATATTGAAGAGCCTTTATAAATTCAGTGTGATAACAAAGAAATAGGAAAAAGCTTGGTACTTCACTAGCTCTGTTTCCTCTTAAGTTTAGGTTAGAATTGCAAGGGACGAACTTCCTTAGATAGCTTATTGAGCCCTTCAGCAATCTGTTTGTTTCTCTTTCAGAACCCCACACCCCGTCATGACTTACAAGACCTGTTATGACAGCAGGAGTTCTGATTATTACCAGGATTTCATCCCTCCTGACAATCTGGCCTGGCAAACTTCACCTTGCAACATGGGATCTGTGAACTACCCCATTCCCATCGCTTACAACAAACACGAAGGATCGTGCTACCCAGTGCAGAGTTATTCCCAGCAGTTACTACAGGGAAAACTGAAAAGTAAATCCAGAAGACGCAATAGGAAACGCAAAACCAAATGATGGAAGAGCTTCCTCTACCAGAAGGACTTGGTACCCTGCTGAATAAAATGCTCTTTGGTGTGAGTTTTCCCAAGGGGATTATTTAATTATGAACCTAATTCATTTAGACACGTTTGCTGTGATGACCACAAGCTGCCAGTTAACAGAAAGGAAAGAACTGGTTTTAACATTGAGACTGTTTTAAAAGGTTTTTTCTCCCTCCAAGCATCTTCGCAACTTGCATTTTTTGCTATATTGCAACCCAGCGACATCCACATTAAAGTGTTGGAGCAACTTCTGAAGGGAGACTCCAAATAAATCTGGGTCAGAATAAGCGGTCTTCCACCTTTACATATGTCTTTTTAAACCCCAGGGGACCAGTGTTTACATGCATGCCTTCCAGTACTCTGTATCGAATACAAGTGTTCAGGCAGTGTCCGGAAAGGGAAGCCAAATAGTACTGTTTTTACACAGCATAACACATTTTGTTTAATATTTTTATATGTATTTTTAACCTGACATTTTAATCTTTTAAGTATAACAAGTAAAGTTCATGGTTCGTAACCAACCTTGGCCAGTAGTTGAAGGGAACAGTGCTAGGTGGGGGGCTTTTTTCCACTTCCCAGAAATCCAATCTGTGCAAACCACTACTTCTATCTCTCGGAGAGACCAGCATGAACACGGGTTTCTGTCTTGCTCCGGGGGTGACCAGTCTTAGAAATGTATGAGCTTTCATATCTGTAAAACTTGCCTGTTCCTGCTCTGTGGATTCATGGAGGAGACTTGCATGTCTAAGGTTTCTAATCTTGTTGCTCTTTTTTCTCCCCACTTTAAATTCATATAAGAATGACTGAACCATAGGCCATGTAGTGAGATGCCATCCCAGATGTACACAGTTACTATTAAAATCTGGACATATGGTCACTTATTAAGTAATGTCCCCTTTGCTCTAAGAACAAATTGTTGCTTCTCCTCAGTGTAAGGATGGTATGAATCTGTCCTCAGCTTGGCTGGGATAATCTTGCCATGCACATTAAGTTGCTCCAAGTAAAGCAGTTGAATAAGAGTAATGAAGTCTCCTCTCTGACTCCTGAGTGTGGTATGGACAGGGTTAGGGTGTTGGCATCATGATTTGCTAACCTCCTTGTGAAGTAAAACCTTTCACATGGCTGCCATCCTCTATCCAGACTGTCCGATGCCTATTGAGTTCATCACTGGTGGAAGATTGATTTAACAGTGTGCGTTCCTCAGGTATATAAGCTGTTTTCTTATTTAAGTTTTTTTGCATCTCTGAAGGTATTCACTGCAGCTGTTGGCTGAAGTGTGTGTTGAATTAGAAGCAACGATTAAGTTTAATAAAGTGTGTATGATCTTCCACTCCTGAAGTGTCATGTGTAAAAGGCTGCCAGAGTGTTTTACAATTACACCTCTGGGTATTATGAAGACTGCTGCGCTTCTAGTCTGCTCACTTGACATTGTCAGCTTGCCGTATCAGTTTATGGAGTAGAACCCAGGCTACTGTTCTGCTGTAGATTATGTTAGGAGGCAAATGCTTTCCCCAGCTGGCTTGGTTTGGGAAGAGTGTAGTGTCCTGAGTGATCCCTCGCTCAGTTCTAAGGCTCAGAGGTTGGGCTCTTGTAATTGAAGCTTGACTGATGTAAAGAGGCTTTGTGTTGGGGCTGGAACCTGACTCGCCAGACTGACATGAAGTGGTGCGGTAGGAATGTCGTCCGGTTTGGCTGGGCGCTTGACAAATATGTAGGCAGATCTAAACCCTGCTCCAAAGAGTGTTGCTGTTTTGTTACCTTTGCCGTGTCATATTTTCTGTCACACCTTTTCCCCCAAAAACCAGCTTCTGGGCATTGGAATGTGAATTATATGTGAGAGATGCAGCAAGAGCAGGTTCTGCCACTTCCTGCCTGAAACCTGGAGGTAAAACCTGCAGCGATCTACAGCAAGCATCGGCTTCCTGCCTGCTGTTACCCAGGTATGCGCCACAAGGAAAGGTCTTCTCTCTACTCTGCCTTTCCCAAACAGGAGAGGGCGGGTATTGTATTGTGGGCGCGTTGCACGTGAGACCATCCGGTACTCCGCATTCTTTACTTGATTTGTTTCTCCCCCTGTGCAGTTTGCTCCCAAGGCCAACGGGGCACTAATAAAGCTCGTTGGCACGTGCTTTGGTGGGTTGGCCGAAATATCCCTCTTTCCCATGGATCGTGGGGACCTGCCACACATTCAAATGAAAGCTGCAGAGAAACCAGCTATGAAGTTGTTATGTGCTTCCAAGCACTAACATAACTGCCGGCATAGACATTTCCAGGGTGTGATAATTACTTTTGTCAGTGTGGCCTGTCTAAATTTATTGCACAATTCACCAGTGAATTGCATAATACGTGTAAGGTATGACAGGCGGCGCTGCAGGCTGCGCTCTGGGGAAGCCCAGGGCCTCCCTTGGAGACAGTCGCTGTGCAGGGTGGAGCAGCTGTCCGCTTTCCTGCGCGGCCCCTTTAAGAACTTCCTTTCCCATGAGGCGTCCTCCAGTGCCTGCCTCAAAATGGCCGCCGCAGCCCCGCCCCCTTCGTGCGCAAGTTCATGGCTTTCAAGCATTAAAAAGAAGTCACCCCGCCGGAAGTCAGCGGCGGGAGGCGACACCCCGGATGTAGCCGCGCCTCTTGATTGGCCGTTCACAATGCGTTCTCAGGAAGGGGTGGGTCTCGAGGTTTCTCAACGTCTGGTCCTATAGGCTGCGGCCGGAACGAGGCTGAGCGGAAGCCGGCTACCCGGAAGTGTTGCGGGCGCCTGGTAGCCTGCCCTGTGGGCTGGCAGGTCAGCCGGGGCCGGGGCCCGGCGAAGGAGGCGGGGGGCTGCGTGGGGCTTGGCCGTGGGTCTGAGACCTCGGGGGAGGGGGAGAGTGAGCCCCTGCCCCTGGGGGAGGGGATTTCGCAGCCTCAAGCCTAAGTGGGGCAGCACCGTAGAGACTAACCCGTGCAGAGCAGCTGGCCTGCAGTACGAAGGCTGGGGGAACCTGGAGGGGGTGCTGGCAGGGCTGAGGGGGACAACAGCAGAGAGACCAGGAGGATGTGGGGTGCGGGCAGCTGGCTGAGGTGAGGGAGGAGAAACCCTGGGCTCGGGGTTGCCCCAGGATCCGTGGCCGTGAGAGCGCCATGCTGTGAGCCCCCCTCAGGGCACAGTTCCCTGCACCTGCTTTGTGAGGGGAAGTACGAGAGATGCCGAGACGGCTCTGGGCCACCGGGGTCGCCCTCGGTTCTTTGCAGCAGCAGAGCTGCTCTTGTATGTTGTCTGTAGGCAAGAAAGCTCGGCGCTGGCGTGCTCCAAGGGGGCCTCGAGGCTAGAAGAAGTTGGGGACCGTGTGGCCGAACAGAGGCGCGCTGTGCGTCTGGGGTGGCTCGTCTGTGCTGTGCACGCAGACCCTTGTCAGTCCCCCTCTCCCAGGGGAGGCTTCCAGTGAAAACTGCTTTGTGGTTGCCCTTGTGTGACAGCCCGGCGCTGTGTTAGCGTGTTGCTCAGGACCTGATTGCGATTCGCCTTCAGGGAAAGCTTGTGTGGGCAAATGGCTTTGCTGTTCTTCCAGGTGTCGTGTTGTAGGGAAGGGTCTCAGCCATTTTCTGGTCTGTGGTTACCTGGGTGTTAGACTGAGCACCCTGTATTATGTTCAGATCATGAGCCAACTATTGTGGTATTTATTGCAACGGCCCTTGTTTAGAAAATGTTGTCGTTGACAGTTCACCGGGCATTGCCCAACTGAAGACTGACTTGTGGGGTTGCCTGTGAAAAGAGTTTTTAACACAGAGAGAAACCTGGGAATGCAGCTTGTTTTGCCACTAGGGCTCAGGAGCCAAAGGTCGCTGCCTGTGCCTGTTTATGACCCCTTCCCTCGTTTAGTGGGAGGATCCAGTAAATCATATTCATGTGGTTGTGGCGATCTGTTGTGGGATTTGGAGATTCAGTACTAGGACTTTGCTACTGGGTAAAAGCCATCTGCTGTGGGGTGTTCACGTGGCCAGCATATATCAGGAGAGATGAATGGGTCTCCAGCAAAAGGGTAAATGAAGCAGGTAAGAATTGCTTTGCTTCCTGGCCCTTCTCAGTTCACAGGGTGTGCTGCATGCAGCATGCCACCAGGCAGGAGGATGGCCAGCTGTGTGTGTGCAGGACCCCTGGTGAATGGGGACCAGGCTGATGTGCACTCCCAGAAAGACAGGGGATGTTTGCAGAGGCATAAAGGAAGTAGGGAGAGAATTGGTGGTTGGCTTATTGTGCTTAAACAGCAAGGAGACTCTGCAGGGGTTATGGTTTGAGTGGCCTTTTAGTTGTGACCTTTTTGGTATTGTTTAGTTACTGGCAGTACCTTAGCAGTGCCTGCCACAAAACGAGACCCTATGTGAAGCTATGTCTGTTATTTGTAACAGAATGAGCTGTGTTCTTGCTGCTGCCCCATGTAGTAGTTGATGACTTGGTGTGGTAGCCATGTGCAGCTGATTCTTCTTTCCCCTGAGCACCTGGAAGCATGCTTGGTTTGACTGATGTGCCTTGCAGATGGCTCTGGAAGGTGGTGAGATGCAAATTTGGCCTAATCTGTTGTTGAAAAGAATGTTTTAGTGCCTATTGGCCATTGTAGAGAGCCGTTTGTTACCCTGCCCTGGGGGCGGGCGGGTCAGCCGGGGCCGGGGCCCGGCGAAGGAGGCGGGGGGCTGCGTGGGGCTTGGCCGTGGGTCTGAGACCTCGGGGGAGGGGGAGAGTGAGCCCCTGCCCCTGGGGGAGGGGATTTCGCAGCCTCAAGCCTAAGTGGGGCAGCACCGTAGAGACTAACCCGTGCAGAGCAGCTGGCCTGCAGTACGAAGGCTGGGGGAACCTGGAGGGGGTGCTGGCAGGGCTGAGGGGGACAACAGCAGAGAGACCAGGAGGATGTGGGGTGCGGGCAGCTGGCTGAGGTGAGGGAGGAGAAACCCTGGGCTCGGGGTTGCCCCAGGATCCGTGGCCGTGAGAGCGCCATGCTGTGAGCCCCCCTCAGGGCACAGTTCCCTGCACCTGCTTTGTGAGGGGAAGTACGAGAGATGCCGAGACGGCTCTGGGCCACCGGGGTCGCCCTCGGTTCTTTGCAGCAGCAGAGCTGCTCTTGTATGTTGTCTGTAGGCAAGAAAGCTCGGCGCTGGCGTGCTCCAAGGGGGCCTCGAGGCTAGAAGAAGTTGGGGACCGTGTGGCCGAACAGAGGCGCGCTGTGCGTCTGGGGTGGCTCGTCTGTGCTGTGCACGCAGACCCTTGTCAGTCCCCCTCTCCCAGGGGAGGCTTCCAGTGAAAACTGCTTTGTGGTTGCCCTTGTGTGACAGCCCGGCGCTGTGTTAGCGTGTTGCTCAGGACCTGATTGCGATTCGCCTTCAGGGAAAGCTTGTGTGGGCAAATGGCTTTGCTGTTCTTCCAGGTGTCGTGTTGTAGGGAAGGGTCTCAGCCATTTTCTGGTCTGTGGTTACCTGGGTGTTAGACTGAGCACCCTGTATTATGTTCAGATCATGAGCCAACTATTGTGGTATTTATTGCAACGGCCCTTGTTTAGAAAATGTTGTCGTTGACAGTTCACCGGGCATTGCCCAACTGAAGACTGACTTGTGGGGTTGCCTGTGAAAAGAGTTTTTAACACAGAGAGAAACCTGGGAATGCAGCTTGTTTTGCCACTAGGGCTCAGGAGCCAAAGGTCGCTGCCTGTGCCTGTTTATGACCCCTTCCCTCGTTTAGTGGGAGGATCCAGTAAATCATATTCATGTGGTTGTGGCGATCTGTTGTGGGATTTGGAGATTCAGTACTAGGACTTTGCTACTGGGTAAAAGCCATCTGCTGTGGGGTGTTCACGTGGCCAGCATATATCAGGAGAGATGAATGGGTCTCCAGCAAAAGGGTAAATGAAGCAGGTAAGAATTGCTTTGCTTCCTGGCCCTTCTCAGTTCACAGGGTGTGCTGCATGCAGCATGCCACCAGGCAGGAGGATGGCCAGCTGTGTGTGTGCAGGACCCCTGGTGAATGGGGACCAGGCTGATGTGCACTCCCAGAAAGACAGGGGATGTTTGCAGAGGCATAAAGGAAGTAGGGAGAGAATTGGTGGTTGGCTTATTGTGCTTAAACAGCAAGGAGACTCTGCAGGGGTTATGGTTTGAGTGGCCTTTTAGTTGTGACCTTTTTGGTATTGTTTAGTTACTGGCAGTACCTTAGCAGTGCCTGCCACAAAACGAGACCCTATGTGAAGCTATGTCTGTTATTTGTAACAGAATGAGCTGTGTTCTTGCTGCTGCCCCATGTAGTAGTTGATGACTTGGTGTGGTAGCCATGTGCAGCTGATTCTTCTTTCCCCTGAGCACCTGGAAGCATGCTTGGTTTGACTGATGTGCCTTGCAGATGGCTCTGGAAGGTGGTGAGATGCAAATTTGGCCTAATCTGTTGTTGAAAAGAATGTTTTAGTGCCTATTGGCCATTGTAGAGAAAACTCCAAAACATAGTCTCATCTTAGCTGCAAGTCTGAAACACCCATGTCCAAACCTCAGCTCTTCCTCCAGTTCCTGCCTCAGGACTGCTCAGCCCACTATCTAGATCCCCTTTCCCTGGGTAGCCCCTTTGTGCCTAGGTGGGGCTGTCTATCTGTGAGGGTTGTATGAAGAGACTGTATCTGCGGTAAAGCAGCTTTCCTGGGCGTCCTCTTTCCAGACACGTGAGCCTAATGCCTGATCACATGGATGCCAGCCTCACCCCAGAGGAGCGGGTGCGGGGTCTTACGCAGATGGGGAGCTCTGTGGAGGTGAACGAGGATGTCCCACCGCGCCGATACTACCGCTCCGGTGTGGAAATCCTCCGCATGGCGACGATTTACGCAGAGGAGGGCAACATCGAGCACGCCTTCATCCTGTACAACAAGTACATCACGTAAGAACCCTCCCTTCACTTATTCCCCTTGTGTGATCTAGGGCATAGGCCTCTCATGTGTCATGTGCTGGGCATTACTAACCTCAGAGCACTCCTGCTGCTCACTTCCCCAGTCACTTGGGGCAGGTCCTTTCACCTCTCTTTGCCTTAGTTTCCCCATCTTTAGAATGAGATTGATCCCACTTGCCTCTCTGCAGTGAGCAGGAAGCATGGTATAAATTCAGACTATTGGCTAGACTAGTGGTTCTCAACCTTTTTGTACCAGGACCCATTTGTAAACATCAGTGGCCAGTCCCAACCCAGTGCCCCCTACTCCTGACCCGTTGCCCTCAGTCCCGAGTCCCCCGGCACCAGTCTGCTAGGGAAAAGCCAGGGTTTCCTGTGTTTTTCTCCTTTGAAGGAGAATCTGTTTTTCAAGTTTGTTCCTGACCCTTCATGTATTCTTGCAACCCACTTTTGGGTCTCAACCCACAGGTTGAGAAACATTGGGCTAGACCATTGGTTCTCAACCAGAGTGCTGAGAGAGAGTTTTTTTTTAAGGGAGCTGTGGGGTGCTATGTGCTCTCTTTGCTGTTAGGTATGCAAAAACCCAGAGGTTTCAAATAGAAATCCGGAATGTCAGAACCATCCTGCCCTGGTGTGGGCTCTTTGCGTTCTTTGTAACAGAAGAATGGCTCTAGTATTTTTCTATAGCCAAAAACCAAGTGAAAGCTAAGAGCTGACAAGTTCCAAGGTGGGTCTCGGGTCTAACGAGGGTGAAAACCACTGGGTTAGACCAAAGGACCAACAGCCAGCTTCCAAATCCAATATGTCCTAACCCATCATGGCTAGAAACCTTCTCTGTTGCTAGGAAGTGTTAACCCTTTGAGAATTGAACAAGGCCACTGGGGCTTTCTCTCCTTGCTTCCTTCTCCTTCTTCCCCAGTCACAGCCGGGCCCCCACCCTTTGAAAACACTCCCTTGCTTGTGAGCAGTTTCTTCCTGCTGCTGCCCAGCCCAGCTTAGGGATGTTTTAATTCACAGCCTTGCTAGATGTGCATTCCAGTTGGACCTAGGAGCTCTTGACCCATGTGAGAGAGCCTGTAGAAGGGGCTGGGGATTGGGTCAACCATGGCTGAAATTAAAGGTGAACCATGTTTGTGCCCTGCCTCTGGGGCCGCTGGTGAATTGCCAGCAGGTCAGTGGGAGACCTGGAGCTGAGCACCCAGTCGGATCACACTCTGCATTGCCATCAACTCTTGCTGCAGGTCTCTGGACTTTTGTGGAAGATCTCCCATCCAGTAACTAACCCAGACAGAATGACTACTGGGGCTGGGATTTCAAGCTGATGAAAGATGAATGTGTTGATCTGTAAAGGATTTAATGCTGGGACTTTCAAAGAAACTTCTGGGAGGTAGAAGCCCAACTTGTACTGAAAGTCAAGCTCCCTTGCACCCCTCTACAAAGCTCAGCCTCATTTTCTTATACTCATTTCCTTGAGCCTAATCAGAAGCTAAGGGGGAAAAAATCCTCCCTGCACCTGATAAATCAGCCTGGCTACCCATAAGGCAGTTGTCTGCTCCCCCCCAATCACTTTCTTCCCTCCCTCCCACACCTGGCCCTGAGGACAGTGTCCCAGGCCCACCCTCTTAAATTCAGTTCATTTTTCCCTGCTGAGCCTGGGCACCAGGCTCACTTACCCCTTCCACCTCCTGAGCTTTTATGGGCATGGCTTTGTGCTTGAGGGAGGGTGGCCAGGGAGCTGCAAAGTGTAAAACCAAGTGGAATCTTTCCAGTTTACGGTGTGAAACAACCTCCCTTAGCTAAACAGCTGAGCTGACAGCTCCTTCATCATCTCAGTGACAGGCACTGGTGTGTTTCCTCTGCAGAAGCCTTAAAATACGCAAGGCACTTATCTTTCCTTGTGGTCTGGTTGGGAGGAATCTTACTGTATTTAAATTCATTGGTGTCAGGGACAGCAGAGCTCGTTTGCTCTAGGTGTATATGGTTGGATGGGCTAATTGAATGCCTATCGTTAACACCAGGCTCTGACTGGGCTCTTCATTGCTGTTCTAAGCCATAGTCACTTGTGCAAAGATGACAAAATGGCACTAGTTTCCACAGAGTTACTTGCACCGCTGCTAAAGAGAGAATCTAGGTCTCTGCGTGTGCTTCCATAGCATTGAATCATAATAGATAAAGACCTCATGAGATCTAGTTTGGAAACTGGGACTGTGTATATTCACACTAGGAATTGGGTGCCCCTAAATGTAATCTGGTGTTTGGAATGATCTAGCCCAATGTGGTGGTGGGTTTGCCATCCCTTGGAGTCTTTCAGGCTGGTCAGGATCTCCTTCCAGAGGAACTCTTGTAGCTCATACCGACATCACGGATTGGGTACCAGAATCACAAGATGACATTCCCTGGACTGTGGGAGGAAGGAGACTGGAGGGTTTGATTGTGGTGGTCCCTTCTGGCCTCCATCCCTTCAATGCTCTCCCCGTGAAGCCTAATTCTCCCCGGTTACACAGTGTCACCCTGCAGTCAGTGACACTGCCCTGGATTTGCACTCTTTTCCTGAAGACAGAGTTTGTCCCATAGCTAATGGCTTAAGGGCCAAGTTGGGCACATGCAGGCAGCAGGACCAAGCTGAGTGTCTGGTTTCAGTGTCAGGAGTGACACAAGTGACTCCCCTATGGCACAGAACCACCCTTGTAGCTGGAATGAGGGATCAGCCCCATAGCAAGACACCCAGTGGTGGCACCTGCTTCCAGTATTCCGAGTCCTGCAGCTGGCACATGGCTGTGGGAAAGCAGCGTGCCCTGGCATCGTCAGCCCCAGCACTTCTTGTGGCTGCCCTTGACAGCTGGCACCAGCTAGAAACAACCTCTTCCAGCCTGCACAGGGAGTCCCCTGCCACCAAGCAGCCTCCTGATCAGGAGCTTAGAGCTGCTTTCTCTGTGCCCTCGGGAGCAGTGCCAGCCCCTGAGCCTGGCAGAGAAATGTGCAGTAGTTTGAGTGAATGGGGCTGTGCTATGCAAGGGACACAGACTCGCTGCTCCCAGTGAGAGTTCTACGGTGCATTGTGTTGTCAGGCACTTGGGCGCAGTCCCAGGCACCTTCTTTCTTACCAGGCAAAACTAGATGCGAGAGACCTGCTTGAATGTTTTTAAACAGAGGTTTGTTAAGTTTTTCAATACTGAGCTACCATCTAAGGTCTCTATTGATGGGCCCAAATAGCCATATATCAGGTGCTATACAGATGAAGTACAAATATAGCCCCCAAATTGCTAGGGAGGGTCTTGGTGTGTGGAAGGCAGAATTCTGTGTCCCACATAAGCACCGGAACGGGAGTACAGGTGGTCCCAGTGCTAGGGCAGCAAGAAAAACACCAGTAAAAAAGTTGGCACCCTGCATCTCAATGTTGCTGTCCATCGAGGTGACCTTTTGGCTCTGCCTTCCCAGGCTGTTTATCGAGAAGCTGCCAAAACACCGGGAGTACAGGACGGCTGTCATCCCTGAAAAGAAGGACACGGTGAAGGTGAGTTGCAGCCTCTCTTGGCCTTGATCTTGGAATGTTTGGGTGTAGTGGGGTCTATCAGGCGGCCTGGTCAAGCTGCCTGGCATTGGGTTAGGCCACTGTCTCTGGTGTGTTGGTCTTATGCTCAGCCAGAAAGAGCAGCTACTGGGTGCATCAGAGTATAGGCTCTCTGTAGCAACAGTCACCAGGCTGTTTTTTATGGAGCCTCATTCTACTCTTCAAGGGTGCCTGTGCCTGTGCCCTTTGGTTAAATATGTGAGTCCATAGGTGGTATGTGTTGGGACTGTCCATCTCAGTGCTTTCTGTGGATGAAGGAGCCAAGGGATTACCTTCTTCCCTAGCCATGAGAAGGGAATAGGGAATAAGGATGTTTCATCTCCAGTAGATCAGCAAGCAGTCATGTCCCACTGCAGCAGCAGACTGCCATCAGCTGCTTCTTGCTAGGGTGCCACTGCTGTAATCCCCCTGCCTCTGGATTGCATCTGCTTCAGTGTCATAGCAGCGTTCCACCCCAACCCAGACAACTTGGGGCTTCAGCTGTCTCTTCTTGCATTGTGTATGGGAGCAGTTTGTCATGGTGTTACACATCGTAGCTTGCTTACTAATCCTGCTGTCCCTACCCTGCCATCATCTCCATTTGTTTCCCTTCCTCAGAAACTCAAAGAGGTCGCGTTTCCCCGAGCTGAAGAACTCAAGAAGGAGCTGTTGACGAGATACAATAAAGAGTATGCGGAATACAGTGAGAGGAAGGTAAGAGAAGATGAACATGTCCAGGCATCTCTGCAGAGGAATCTGGGAAAGTCACCCCAGACCGTCTCCATGCACCTGGGTGACATGATTCTGCACTGGTAGCATCACAGCCTTATATATCACAGAGCTAAGATCCAGCCTTCCCAATCATGCTTCAGGCTGGGGATGGGAATCCAACTATCTTCTTGAACTACAGGCTGCTCCTCAACCCCCTCTGCCCCCATCTCCCCTTTAAGTAAGGCATAGGGTAAACTCCCAGATGTTTGCAAGCATAAAGTGTGTGTGCTATTAGGAATTGCCCATCATAGAACCATAGGAAATGAGGGTTGGAAGTATCTAGTCCAACTGCCTACTCAAAGCAGGACTGTCCCCAACTAGATGATCCCAGCCAGGGCTTAGTCAAGCTAGACCTTAAAAACCTCTAAGGATGGAGATTCTACCACCTCTGTAGGTAAACCTGTTCCAGTGCTTCACCACCCTCCTAGGAAGAGAGTTTTTCCTAATATCCAACTTAAACCTCCCTTGCTGCAATTTCAGACCATTGCTCCTTGTTCTGTTATCTGTCACCACTGAAAACAGTCTAGTTCCATCCTCTTTAACAACCTGAAGGGTGGTCCCAAAGGCTGCTATCAAATCCCCTCTCAGTCTTCTCTTCTGCAAACTAAAAAACCCAGTTCACTCAGCCTCTCCTCAGAAGTCATGTGCCTCAGCGCCCTAACCGTTTTCATTGCCCTCTGCTGGACTCTCCAACTTGTCCACATCCTTTCTGTAACGAGGGGCCCAAAACTGGCCACAAAACTTCAGATATGGCCTCACCAGTGCCAAATACAGGGGAACAATCACTTCCCTTGACCTACTGGCAACACACCTGCCAATGCAGCCCAATATGCTGTTACCCTTCTTGGCAACAAGGGCACACTGCTGACTCATATCCAGCTTATTGGCCACTGTAACCTCTGGGTCCTTTTCTGCAGAGCTGCTGCCCAGCTAGTCAGTCCCCAGCCTGCACCAGTGCACAGGATTGTTCTGTCCTAAGTGCAGGACTTGGTACTTGTCCTTGTTGAACCTCATAAGATTTCTTTTGGCCCAGTCCTCCAGTTAGTCTAGGTTTCTACACCCCCCAGCTTGGTGTCATCCAGAAACTTTCTGAGGGTGCAATCCATCCCATCTTCCAGATTGTTCAGTATCTTCATTAACTAAACCAGCCCCAGAACTGACCCCTGGGGCACTCCACTTGATACTAGCTGCCAGCTAGACACTGAGCCATTGATTACTACCCGTTAAGCCCAACACTCCAGCCAGCTTTCTATCCACTTGGCAGTGCATTCATCCAACCTATGCGTCTTCACCTTGCTTGTAAGAATGCTGTGGGAGACTTTAGCAAGGCTTTTGCTACACAGTCAGGTTGGTCAGGCATCACTGTTCCTAATCACCTTCTTGAAGTGCTTAGAAATGGATTCTTTGAGGACCTACTCCATGATTTTTCTAGGGACTGAAGTGAGGCTGACTGGTCTGTAGTTCCCTGCATCCTCCTTGTTCCCGTTCTTAAAGGTTGGCACTATATTTGGCTGTGTCCAGTCATCAGGGACCTCCCCCCGATTACCATGAGTTTTCAGAGATAAAGGCCAGCGATGCTGCAGTCGTATCAACCAACTCCCTCAGCACCCTCAGCTGTATTGCATTTGGCCCCGTGGACTTGTACACATCCGTCTTTTCTAAATAATCCCTAATCTGCTCTTTCACCACTGAGGGCTGCTCACCTTCTCCCCAAACTGTTTTGCCCAGTGCAGTAGTCTGGGAGCTGACCTTGCCTCTGAAGACCGAGGTAAAGAAGGCATTGAGTACTTCAGCCTTTTCCTTGTCATCTGTCACTAGGTTGCCTCCTCCATTCAGTAAGGGACTCACGCTTTCCCTGAACTTCCTCTTGTTGCTGACATACTTGTAGAAACCCTTCTTGTTATCCATCACATCCTTTGCTAGTTGCAACTCTAGTTGTGCCTTTGGCCTTCCTGGCTTCATCCCTGCATGCCCCAGCAGTATTCTTATATCCCAAGTTGTTTGTCTAAGCTCCCACTTCTTGTAAGCTTCCTTGTTGTGTTTAAGCTCATTGAAGAGCTCTCTGCTAAGCTAAGATGGTCACTTGCCACATTTGCTATTCTTCTGCCCATCGGGATAGTTTGTTCCTGCACCCTCAATAAGGTTTCTGTCCTGTTGATGTTTGTGCCCACCCTGTCCTCACTGTAGCCTGTGTCCTAACCCCATGTAAAGACTCCGGTTTTGCCATTCAGAAAGGCAGCAGGTAACAGAAGGCAGAGCAAGATGGAAGCTCTTGGATCCTGTCTGTTAGAAGCCTTATCTTGTAGGCGTGTAATGTACAGTTGAGGATGATTTTGTCTTGAGCAGGGGGCTGAACTACATGAGCTTGTGAGGTCCCTTCCAGCCCGACTTTCCTATGATTCCTACCATCATAGGAAAATAGGGCTGGAAGGGACCTCACAAGATCATGTAGTTCAGCCCCCTGACTAAACCAGCCCAGCCAAGTGTCTGTCTAACCTGCTTTTGAAAGTTTCCAAGCATGGAGAATCCACAGTCTCTGTAAGCAGTGTGTTCCTCCTCATCGCCAACCGAAATTTCCCCTGTTACAGCTTAAGGCCATTGCTCTTAGTCTTGTCCCCTGTAGCCACAGAGAAATGCCTGTCTCCATCCTCTTTGTAATCGCTGTTCAGGGATACAAAGACAATTAATCAAATCCCTCCTCAGTCTTGTCTTCTCCAGACTAAGTAACTCTAGTGCTTTCAGCCTTTCCTCATAAGTCATGAACGTGTTCCTGGGTGACTTTACCCTGTGTGTAGATAGATAGTTTCAGGGATGGTTTTTGGCTGAGGAAGGGCCCGTCTGAGGGATCAATGGTGCAAGGACATAGCTCATTTGTCACGTGACGTGGCCAGATAGGGTCCTGTCCTGATGTCCTTCCACCTACATTTCTCTTTGCAGAAGAAGGAGGAGGAGGACTTTGCACGGAACCTTGCCTTGCAGCAGCAGCTGGAAGAGGAGAGGCAGCGAGTGGCCCAGATGAAGCAGCAACAGGCAGAGCAGGAGCAGTTCCATGCCTTTGAGGAGATGATCCGACGGAAGGAGCTGGAGAAGGAGCGACTGAAAATCGTGCAGGAATTCGGGAAGGCTGAACCCAGCCCAGAGGATGGACCCCTGATCCCTGGTGTGGAAAAGCCTCCTACTGACGTAACCCCAAAGACTGGCATCCTTCCCGTTCCTCCTTCAAACCAAGGCACTTTGCCCAAGCCTCCTGCTGTGGACAGATCGTTGAAGCCTGGAGCTTTGGGGACCCTGCAGAACAGTTAGTATCTCTTGGAATTTGTTTATCCTGTGTCACTGCTGCTGATTCTTGAACCTAGCTGAGAAGCTGTGGCTGCAACATCAGGGACTCAAACTGTGTTGATCTCTGACGCATTGTGCCGAGGAACACCTACACATTAGAAATCCTCTGTCTTTTCTTCCTGCAGGGCTGGAAATATGGCTTCTGCCTTAACCTTGTTAGTGAGCGTTGCTTGCATTCTCCAGAAATACCTCCTTTCCCTTGTAAAACTATGGGATATTGGGTTGGTCTTGTGAGCAGCTGAGCACGCAGTCTCGGATCCAGCAAAGAGTGCCCATGGGCCTCTTTAAGCTCAGCCTTTGGGTATCGTGGGTGGGGGGTGCTTAGCTCCCTGTAGGGCTGAAGCCCTTTGAGCACCTCAGGAGCTTGTCTGTCCTTTTAATATCAAGAGCCAAATTCAGGGCAAGGGCTGGGTGCTGATGGAGGTCAGAAATTGGTAATCAGGATGGGGATCTGGGTCAGGGCTGACTTGTCCCTTGATTCATTCTTCCCTCATCCACCTTTGGGGGTGATGTGATTTCAGAACAGCTCTCACTCCAGAGGGTGAATTTAAGCCATGCTCCAGACCTGGACCAAAGGCTGCCCCTAAATGATCCAACTCTAAGCCAACCCCTGGTCCACCAGGCTGCTGGATCTGGAGGCATCAGGGTAATGATGGCCTTATCACTCCTTTGCGTGCTGTTGCCTGGTAGTAGCCCCAGTGTTGAGGCATGGTCAGGCTTTGGAGATGCTGTCAGAAGGGAGAGCACAGTAAGTGTTTTACTGGGCTGGTCAATCCCGCAGCCAGGTTTTTGTGCTCTGTGCTGATGTGGTCACTTGATCAGTGCTCCATCATGACCAGCATTACTTCTCAAATGAAAATTTAAATGCCATTATAAAGAACTTGGGTGTAGACACTTGCTTGAATGCATCCATCTCTAGAGAGGCCAGTTATATCATTTATACCTGGAGTTTGGGAACAAAGATCCAACAGAGGGCTGGGCTGGAGCCAGAACTCATGAGGAACATTCTTGATTCCATCACTAACCCACATGTCCTTCAGAAAGTCTGTCCTTTCCCTGGCTCGGAAATGGGTACAGTTATGCCAGCCTTCCCTTGAGGAGTGCTGTATTTTAAGTCTTTAGCTTTTACTTTAAATCTCTGCTCCTCAGTTTGGGGGGTCTGATGTAACTTGCCCCTCTCCACCCCACTTTAAAAATTGACCGCACACAGCCCTTTTTGATGCAGACCACAGCAGATCTGGCCTTATATTAATTTCTATTCCTCCTGTCCCTCCTAGATGTGGCTATCGATGGCCTTCGCCATGTCACCATTCCCAAGGAGCTGTGCCACAAATTCCTCCAGCTTGCCGACGCCAACACAGCCAAGGGTGTGGAGACATGTGGGATCCTCTGTGGGAAGCTGGTAAGGTGGTACCCTCCACAGACCCTGTTCCTTCAGTTCTTGGATTTGCCAGAGGCTGGGTAGTTGCCAGTTCTGGCACATGTAGGGTGATGAGTAAGAAGCAGGTATTGCACACTGTTGGGTTTCCATGTTAACAAAAGAGGATTCTTTCACCCCTCCATCTTGGGATGTCTCCTCCAGAGTCTCCCAATGCTGGAAGACCTCTGTGTCCTTTGGGACCAAAGTATAGTGACCCTTATTAGATCCCAGAGATTGTGCTGACTCAGTGGCTGGCAGCTTCACAGGGCACTCAATGGCTGGGCTGAGCTGCTTTCCATACTAGGGACCTGGCAGCTTTGTAGCTTTTCAAGCACCATGTGGCCAACGTGCCCCTGTTCTAGTGCTACCTGAAAGACCAGGCCTGGACCCTTGTGCAATACAAGCAACAATGCAAAACAATGCCCCAGAAGCATGAGAGCCCAGCTTTACGTTCTTGTGACGCTTTAGCACGGTTAGCCCTGCTGTGTCCAGAAGCATCGAGGCCCCTCTCTGTCTTGTCTTCCAGATGATGAATGAGTTCACAATCACACACGTCATCATACCCAAGCAGTACGGAGGCCCTGACTACTGCAACACGGAGAATGAGGAGGAGCTCTTCCTCATCCAGGATCAGCACAGTCTCGTCACACTGGGCTGGATCCATGTGAGTGCCACAACCGTCCCCTTGGCCTGCTTCGAGCAGAGACAGAAAAGGCCTTTTTGTGGGTGAGGAGGATAGCTTTGTAGGGAGATGGGCTGCTGCTTCAATATGGTCAGGCTGTGCCACCCAGACATATTGGCTGAAAAGAGCACAGCCAATGCTCAGATTTCCCTGCCTACTAACATTGTTCCTTGTCATCAAACTGCTATTGGAAGCTCTGTGAAGTTGTTGTACGGGGCTTGTTGCAATCTGTGGCTCGCATACCATGGCCTCCCCCTGTCCCCTGGGTCAGGCCCTCTTGTGGGAACTGCTGTAGTCTGGAGCAGGGTCCCTTGGGTAGTCTGTGTCCTGGTTTAAAAAAAAAAACAAAAACAAAAAAACCCTGCCCTTGGAGATCCTCCCTCCCTGTCAGCAGCTGTAGCCACATGGAACACCTCCATTGGCACTGGACTTCACTGGTTTCTCCCCCTGTAGACTCACCCTACCCAGACAGCGTTCCTGTCCAGCGTGGATCTGCACACACACTGCTCCTATCAGATGATGCTGCCTGAGTCTATAGCGATTGTGTGTTCACCAAAATACCAAGAGTAAGTATGGGCAGGGGTGGGCTTCACAAACGTGTCTTGGAGTTAGAGCAAAAGGCGGGTCTTTCAGAAGCACTTTGGGAACTTTAACCAGGTCTAAACCCCACCCTGGATGCTTCTGATGGTTCAAGTACAACAATATCAGTACAGCTCTTCAGGGCTGTAGCTACAAGCATCTTTATGTTGGTGTAACAGGGCAGGGTAGTGTAAAATCCCACCCGTAAGTATGGAGACAAACGATGCACGTATGTCTGTCACTAGCTTCACAAAGCCCGTAGTAACACTTACTCTTGGATCACTCGAACAGATCTGTATAATGGAATTGAATCCGATGTGGGAGGGCACTAGGCTGGGATCAGGGAAGTCAAGGTTTGATTCAGTTCCCAGCTCTTCCACTGACTTCACTGTATAACCACGGGCAAGCTACTTCAAGCCTCTGGGCCTCAATTTCCCACGTGGAAATTTCTGGGCATTTCTTCCCTCATCTTGTTCGTGTATGCTGGAGAGCTTGGCAGATGGATTTGTACAGCACCTAGCACAGTGGAGCCCTGACTTTACTTGGGGTCCCTGGGTATTATTGTAAGGCACCTGATATGTGGGTTGACCTGCTAAGGCAGAAGCAGAATGAGAAGTCATGGAATAGGTTGGGGTAGTCCAGCTGAAGCAGCCAGCTTTTCTTAGGAGGCCCAGGCAGTTAAGAAAGCATCTCCTCTCCTTAGAACGGGGTTCTTCAAGCTGACAGACCATGGCATGGAGGAGATCTCATCTTGCAGGCAGAAGGGGTTCCACCCACACTCCAAAGATCCTCCGCTCTTCACGGTAAGTAGCAGAGGAGAAGGGTCACTGAGAACTGCAGCTTGTTCAGCCTGTTTGTTGCATCACTGGTGTTTTTTAGCTGTGCTGAAGGGCTGGGCCCTGAGACCTGGAAGGAAAGTAATGCATGAGCCTGGGGGTGTAGGAGGCAGCCTGGCTTGGGTGATGCACAGGGGGAGCCGAGGGAGCCAGTCTCCTGTGGCCTTAAGACTCTACTGGGATGCTGTGGGAAGGCCCTTGGAACATGGAAGGCTGAGAGGGAGGCAAGCCCTGTTAGTACCTGGAGGAGATTCACCTGCAAGCCCTGTGCCTGTGTCAAACATTGAATGGGTGCCATAGTGCTTCCCATGTCCTGCCCCCAGCCATGCCAATGACTTGCTGAGCTACTCATTTCTCTGTCTGCCTTAGCTCCCCAGGTATAAAATAAAGGTGCGAATGCTGCTTCAGGTTGCCTAATGTTTGGGCTATTGATGACAGATATCTTCCTATTCTGCTTGGGGAAGGACGTATGGTTTCTCACAGAATTTGGAGCAGAGAGCCTGAGCTCAGGTCCTGGCATGGCTTCTGACTCTCCATGTGACCTTTTCACATCCCTTCATCTGCCCTGAGTCTCCGTTGCTCCTCTGTATGGAGTGGCTAATACATTTCCATGCTTGACAGATGTCTGTGGTAGAGTGGGATTCAGAGACCTCTGGCCCATACAAGCAGCTCATGGCAAGTTCAGTGAAATGGCATCAAGGGGGCACGTGAATCACTTTTCCGTTTTCCTTCACCTCTCTCTTCCAGACCTGCAGTCACATCACAGTGATGGAGAGGGACGTGGCGGTGATGGATCTACGATAGCCCTCTTGCCTTAACTTGTCGGTTTACTGGAAAGCAGCTACCTTCCTCTTCATCCTAGGGGATCACACCTCCCATAGCCATTGGTATCCCAGTAGTCACAGTGAAATCGTTAATCTGACTCTTCTGGGTGCTTCTGAGAACTTGGCGTCCTGCACTGTGTCTTGCCAAGGGGCTCAAGACGTGAGGAAATATTAACCTGGGATTGCTTAAAAACAAAAACTAACACTAAATGGATTTAACTTTAATACTTGGCTGTTCAGCAAATGCATCCTGAGGGGTTTCATGCAAGGATCTGTCCTCCAGAGGCTCCAGAACTGGGACTGAGGAGCCTTCGAGAGGGAAGCACTTTCCAAATGAGGCGCACTGAAAATTAATATTATCTCCTGGTTTTTTGCTTTTTGTTGCTTCTGTTACTTGTTGGCAAAGCTTTGGGCCTTTCCCTTCACTTTAGATCAAACCCACAGTGTCCTTCTCTTGGCCTGTTTTTTTCACTTCCGCCAAGGTCCTGTTAACACCAGGAGTCTCAGGGTCTCTGTCTCCAAGGTGCCCTGTATGCAGTGTGTGGAGTGAAAAGGTCCTTGTGTCTAATTCTCACTTAAGCTTTCTCTAACCTAGTGCTTCATTGATTTGATTTGGGAAGAGGAAACGGTCCCAACAGCTTGATAGGAATGTGACACCCTGAGATAACCAAGTGGTGTTGGTACAATGGATTGAGGAACCTGGCTTCGATTGCTATTTGCTGCGACAAATAGGGGCAAAATGGCTTCATGGTGCTGAATGATAGATGGAGATGAATGCGATGTTATTTTATTACTGTATCTGCTCTATCAATTATGGCCATGTGAAGGGGAAGACAGCGACATTGGGTTCTTCTTTGCTTCTCAAGTTTCTGTGTCTTGAGTTGTGCTTTTGATTCTATAGAAGGTTTGTCAAAGAATTCGCATCTTTTTCCCAAAACACTTGGTAACATCTGGCAGCGGTACGGCTGAGAGGGCACTGGCATAATTCTAACAGTGGCCTCCCTCAGTAATGGTATTTCCCCACTGTGGGAACATAATGTAATTTAGCAGGGTCTGATGGACTAGGCACTGTACTGGGAGTCAGGAGGCTTTGTATAGTGACTTGCCTTTTTCTCTCATCCATAGGTTAAGGATGATGGGACTGTAAAGTGTCTTCAGAGCTGCAAGGAGTTATGAATACAAAGCTTTACTAGCAGCAGTGCAGCTCTCCAGCAGTTATAGGAGAGCATCCCAAGCTGGTCTGGCCAGATAAATGGTGTTGGAGCCATGCCAGAATCAGTTGTTCTCAGCTGGGGCCAGTTGCAAAGTTCAAATCTGTCAGGAGTGGGCAGGACACAATCTTAGGGTGGGGGAAATGGCAGAGGTGGGATTCAGACCTCAGCCCTGGGGTGTCTGGGCCACACTTGCATGCAGCTCCTGTCTGCTGGAGTCCAAGTTCATAAGCTCTCCTCTTGCCTTTTGCCTTCTTCTGAGGACAGTCTCCCACTTAAGTATTTGTTATGCCTTGAAGTGTCATCCCCGAGCCCCCCTTGTTGCTGCCCTGACATTTCCTCTGATTTTTCACTTGCCAAAATTCACCATCCCCATAAACCCCAAAGGTTGTTTGAAAAAGGCCTGTTTTGCCGGGTGAACGAGTGATGCATCATCCATGTTGGTCATGTCCGATCCCAATCGTATTTCCTTCCCCTTCCTTCCCCCCTGCAGTCTTTGCTGCTGTCTATGTCAAGCATCCATCAGTCTTGAAGGAAGCCAGGGAAAAGCAGGTATCTGTGTGCACTCCCCCTTTGTAACTCGCATTACCTTGAAACTCTGATATTAAATGGGTAATGAATATGAAATGTTAGCAAGCCTGACTTGTGGCTCAGAGCAGTGGCTTTTGCCCTTGAGCAAGCAAAATTTCTGTAAAGGGCTTGGCCTCCTGCATTTGGTGTTTTGTTCATGTATCAACACATACCCACGTGGTGGGGTGGAAGGTCATGTGGAATAGGTGTGTAACATGCCCCTACCCAAATGGATTGCTGCTTAATGTTTGGTGGACAGACTCCTTGCTGTACAGTTTAATACAGATCAGTTATATTATCTTGCCTTTTGTTTTGTTTTGCTTTGACTGAGCTGTTTTTGGCCGGGGATCTGAGTGCTTTACAAAGGGACTGGGATTCTCATTTTATAGGCATGGGAGTCTCTTGCCCTCAGTCCCATATTGGGGGCAGACCTGAGCCCTGAGGACTTCTAAAGCAGTGGTTTTCAACCTTGCTAGACTTGGGGCCCCCCTGGAAAATGGTAGCTCTTCGTTTTCACTCCTTTTTTGATTGCAGTAAAATACTAGAGCCATTTTTCTGTTGTGAAGAATTTAGAAAGACTGCAGTAGGTCGGGATGTTTTCAACACGACCGATTCCTATGTGAAAAATGGTTTCATCTTGTGAATCACGTTTGCACACCTGACGTTGTAGGATCCTTGCAAGGATCTCAGTACCTCATGGTTGAGAACCAGTGCTATCGAGGGTCCTGGCATCAGAAGGGGAAAAACATAGGTAACTCTGGAATCCTTTGTGGACCTTTACGGTAGGGATCTCAATTGGAAAATGCATAGGGCAGAGTCCTTTTATTTTTCCACTTGCTTTTTTTAATAGAGCTTTATTCCTCAAGTTGCTCTATATGAATTCAGGAGACCTACTGATGGGGGGTAACTTAGTATTCAGTGGGAGTAAAGGGTCTGAATCTGGTCCTTGGATGCTCCTTGATGATGAACCCTCCAGAAATCTCTCAAGGTGGATGGTAGGAGGTTTGAGGCAGAACATCTGCCATATAGAGGTTGTATGTCTCAGTTAAGAATTGGTTGAGTAGTTGTTGTTTGTTTTGTTTTATTTTTTAATATCCCAAAGAATTCCATTCGTGCTCCTACATCTGTCGGGTGAGGAGGAAATTCAGCTTCTGAATGCATAGCCTGGAGCTTCGCTACCTGATTTATCATGTGGAAGTGCACATCTGCAGAGATGTTGCCCTGTAGACACCACCCCTTCCTATCATGCAACATCCAAGTAGCCACCAGAGCGGTTGCTTCTGTGGTGACAGAATATTATGGGAGCATCATAGAGGTCATAGCAGAGAGGAGCAGAAGCAGCCCAAAGTCAGGAGGCAAACCATAGCAAGGGAGGTTCCTTCCCTATACTTCCTTAATGAAGCCTGAGGGATTCATTCTTGTTTAACACTGTTGTATCTAAGGGCTGTCTCCTACCTAAAGAATGATTTTTCTCAGCACAGGTAAAAAGTCCATGGGAACCAGGTTGTGGAGAGACATAGGTTTTTAAGACCTAAAGAGATCCTAACAGAGGTTAGAAAATAGCGTGCGAGACATTCTGTGGGAATCCGTGTCCTCTGAGCTATGGTTCATCTCTGTAGTGTCCAGTGTTGCCTCTGGCTGCAAGTGATGGAGATTGGCGTCCCATCCCCAGGGTGCCTATTTGTAAGTTGTCACCTCCTTGACAGTCTAAACAGGTGGAGTGTCTTTAGTCTTCTTCCCATCAGGCAGAGTTTTAGGATCATTCTCATCAAGGTGTATGCAACTGTGGCACAGTTCTGGTTTCAAAGCACAGGTGTGGCCTGGGATCACTTAGGGAAGCCTGTCCTTTTTATGACCAGCTGGGTGATGAGGGTTGTACCTTGCCTCCCCATTGCATAGTGGTTCTGGGCTGACAGTGCAATGTAGCTGCTTGCTGGAGACAATAGGAACATTTCTTGGTTCTGTTTCGAGGAGAAGGGGATTGAAGTAAGACCCGGAGAGGAGGTACCTCCAGGAAACCCAGAGGAGACCTCCCAACAAGCCAGCAAAGGACATGTATGCGGTAGAGTCCGTTTCTTTCCCACCCCACTGACAGCTGGACAGTTCTTTGGTGGCTGAGACTCTGCATTATGAGTTTTTACATCCTGTGACAATCAACCCAGCCCCAACCAAGGGGTCTTGGACAGACCTGTAGTTTGGGTTTTACCTTAATTTTTCCAGCTTGCAGAAATGCGGGGGCTTCCCTTATGTGGTTACCCAATATCTTGCTCTGAACTCTTAGTGCAAAGAAAAGCAAATGGCTTTGTTGCAATGCTATCACTATCAGCATGCATAATAAGGACTTTCGTGGGTTAAAGCACCAGCACCAGGGGTCCTGTGGATGTGTGAGACTCTGTGTTGGCTTATTGGAAAATAAGTCTTTGCACTTGTGGCAGAGAGAAATATGACACTGTGATTCAAATGCCCTCGAGCTGGAAGAACAGCATCCCATATGTATTTGCTTCAGTGAAACTATTTGAAACCCATGGATGACTGGGGTAGCTTTGTCTAACAATTTTTGGACTCATGGCCTGCAGGAAGTTTGTTTGGCTTAAGGTTAGATGCCTCAGCCACTGTTCAAACAACATGTTTCTACTGCATTAAGTCATCTGGGACAACAGCTGGGCTGTGTTAACCTAAGAACATAAGAATTGCCATTTACTTTCTCTGACTGTACTATCTTGCCCAGTCTCCTGCATCAAAGTGGCAGGGAGCAGATGCTGAAAGGGAGAGTGAACTGGATATGACCTGGGTTTTTCCCCGTTTCTCTCTACCCGGTCTGAGTATGTAGCTGGCCTTTGCCACTAGCTGGTCACTCACCATTATTCATGGTTCTCCCAGATGCAATGGGGAGGACCTGAAAATGCTAGGGCAGAGGTGGGAACTGAACCCAGGTCTCCTGCATCTCATGTCCTGTGTGTGATCCACCCTCTCAGCCTTTTGCCAGTTGCAGCTGGGATGCAGTTTCCATCCCTTCAGTTCAAGATCTGCCTGGGTTTCTTAAACCTCCGATCACGTGCAGTCCAGCATGAGCCATTTGCAGAGCGTCCCAGCATGATATCCGCTAAAGCTTTCCTTCCTTGCAGCTGTATATCCACCCAACGTGGGGCACTTCCCAGCCCATCTCCAGGCATCCCTGCAGCCACCATCACCCTCCCTGCTGCTGCTCCCAGAGCTGAGCAGCGGGGAAGCAAGGGTGGCAGAGCCAGGAGCCCCTAGCACAGTGGGATGCCTGAAATTCCTGGTAGCATCCTCTGGCTGGGGGCCTGCTCTCTGTTAGTGCCTGGCTTCCATCCCAGCGCCTGCAGGGATACCAGCTGCAAGGAAGGCCCATTGGCCGGGCTGGAGGAACGTTTCCTTATTAGGCCTTGCCTGGCCGGCCCTGCTCAGGGGGCTACAAGCAGCCTGCAAGCTGGATTCTGCACCAAGAGCCTGCAGGTTGGTTTCTATGGCCTTCAGGGTGTGGGATGTCCTGCCCTTGCGGTCCCCTGGCTTTAAGCTCCATCCTCTTTTAGGGGGTATGACGGTTGCTCTCAAAGGCAAGAACGTTTCTAAATCTTGGTGCGTTTCACAGTTTCCCTTGCTGCTAGGGCACCTCTAAGCACTGCTTGCTGTTTCTAAAGTGGCAAACCCCTTGTTAGGACCCCGTCAGGCAATTCTAGGCTGCTGTCATCCACCCTGAGTTGATGGGGTACAGGACAGACCCAGTCCCTCATGTTTTAGGCTGTCTCAGTTCTGCCTCAGCTAAAACTCCGGGTGTCCAGGACACCAGAAACGGAAGCTGCTTCCTCTGTCTCTTGCCCAGGATATTTTGTGTGGGGGATGGCAGTGGCCTGGGGCCTGGGAAGCTTCAGAGCTGTTCTAGGCTCTGCCACTGATGGCGTGCCTTGGGCATGTTGCTTCATTTATGTGTCTCCTGCATTGCATCTGCTTTGGGGCAGGGATTGCAACTTGCTGCATGCCAGGGAGGCTCCAATCTCTGCAGGAACCTCTGGGTGTTACTGCAGCAAACAGTGATCCTCTTGGATTTGATTTCAGTGGTGCAATCCCAGTCAGACTCCTGAGGGTCAACCTTGATGTATGCATTCAGGACGATACTGGGAGGAGAACCCCCTTACCATCCCAGAATGGAGCTGGTGGTGTTTAAAGAGCTGGAGCCTTAATTTGCAGCTCAGCTAACCCTTAATCCATTGAGAACAGGCTGGTGCCAGACCTAGGGCAGGTCTGGCCACAAGGGGCTGCCTTGTCTGCACCATTTCTGTAATTCAAGGAGGCTTGAGGGTTGCTGCTGTGGAGGGTGTGTGGGACCTGGCAAAGGGCGGTGTCCTAGGTGGGAGACGGCTGCCCCTGGCAATGCGCAGGTGGCACGAAGGAGCTGCTGTCTGTCTGGAGACTTCTTTCCTCCCCAAAGCTCCAGAGCGGCTACGACTCAGACGAATGTTTTCCTTGCTGAACGCAACAGAGATCTGCGACTCAGCCAGCAACTGCAGGATACTTCAGGCTCCTGGTTTGTATGACCTTAGTTCCACTGGGAGTATCAGGTTAATACTAGGCCTTTCCTGTCTTGTGCTTCCGGCTCAAAGCAAGGATCGACTGCTCTTTGAAGACTGGGTGAGGACTTGGGCCGGGGTCTGGGCTCAGGTTCCAGCTCAGAGTGTCCACACCAGGTCCCTGGTGCTTTTTGAGAGAGGTACACTGCCCCTTGCAAGCTGGGGGCTCCCTATGGCTGTTGTTGGACCTGCTGTGTGGAGTCTTGAGAGGTTGTGATTGAGGGGGCCTCTCTGTAGACATGGACTTTAATTGTTGCTCCTTAGCCCCCATCTGAAAGTGCTTCCCCTGCTCTGCCTTCACCGTAGCCTGGCAGCTGTCCATAGCTGGGACTGTCCCTCCTCCAGTGCATGTGTAGCTCTTGGCATGGTATGGCTCTGGTCTCGTCGGCACCTTTATGGAGCTGCTGCAAGGAGACTGAGCCTCACTTCTGACCTGTTGGACTGCCTGGAGGAGGGAGGCGCGGGGGTGAGACCCAGCTGCCCCAGGTCAAGTCCCTCCTTTTGTTCCATAATCAAAGTATTTGTGGTCTCCTCTCCAAGGGAGAGGCTGCCTTTGGAGGATGAAGCCCTCCCTGCCTGGCGGAGGATGGTGCTAGGGTGCGTCTAGTTAGTACCTCATGATCCCCCATCCCACGGGGGCCTGACATGACCCAGGCCTCCAGCTGGAATCTGCTCTGGGCCTCAGGCTGTCCCGTCTGACCCAGACAAGCAGCTACCAA